CCCCTCTTCGTCGGCGTGGTCGGAGGGTGGAGTCGAACTGTCGTGGTCGTGGTCGGTCTCATCGTCCACGCCCATTCCTTCTGGTTGAGCTGGGGGCCTTCTGCTGTCTGCTACATGCTCTTGGACTATTTGCATGTTCCTGACTGTGATGTAAGTGCTCGGTCTCCGCATGGCCATTAGGTCGGCCCTGAAGTAGCCAAGCTCCGTTGCCAGCGCGGCTGTCGAGGCTGCTAACTCGCTGTATGTGATGTGGGGCCTTATGGGGGCCAGTATTCCGTCTCTCAACTGCAGCGTCGCTTGTGCCTCGTCAGGGGGGGGGGGGGGGGGGGGCCTGGTAGCAACGCCGCAACGCTGCCTCTGTCGTTGGCTCTGCAATGCGGGCAACGAACGGGCATGGTGCCCCCCCCCCCCCCCCCCCTCCCTGAATACTCCTGGCTGGCTAAGTCTCTATTGCTCAAGGCACTGCTTGTGGAACCGATGCCCACATAATCCTAGGACTTCAACCACTCCTCGGAGCTCCCCAGTGCAGATGGCACATGTTTGTTCCCCTTCCCCGGTGTCCCATGTGGGCATTTGCTCCGGCTGGCCTGCTCGTAGAGCCTCCTCAGCATCTCCAGGCGGGTCGGACGAGTTGGCAATGGCTGCGCCTATGCTTTCTATGACGAGTCGTGTTGTCGTGACTGCCTCTTCCTCCGTTAGACACGCCTTGAATCCAGCGGCGCTCGCAAGGAGGGGCATTTGCAGGGGTCCAAACGGGGAGTAGGCTCCGGGAGGGTGCCCCCCCCCTTCGCTCAGTATGCGTCTGATGTCCGCGGGGGTGTGGATGTCCGCTATTTGCAGCCACCTGCTGAGGACCTCGAACGGTCGGTTGTCGATGCTCCGAACCTAAAGTACCGGCCGCAGGAGGGGGGTGTAGTGGGGCGCCAGACAGAGCCATATGGCTCTTGATATCCAGTTCACTGGCTCGAGCTGAGCTCTGGTTTCCCTGAGCAGTCCTTCTGCCACTACCTGGGCCTCTGATCCGTTTAAGGAAGTGCGGTCTATACACTGCTGCCTGGTCCTGCCTGCGGCTTCGTCGTCTCTCTGAGTCGCATCTGACGCGCGTATTAGGGCGTTCAGGGTTTCCCCTCCGCTAAGTGTCTGGGCGGCTGTTCTATGGCTGCTGCCAGCTTGGTCGCCCAGTATCTGCCTGATGTCTTCGTGCCACGGTGTGGTGGTGTCCTGCGCTCTTCCTCCTGTGGGGGAGGTGGGCCGTTGTTCTCCCGATGTGTTGCCCCTTGCCGCGCTGCTCCTATCCTGGGCCCTGGCGTTCCCCAGGCGCGCGCCACGGCCCACCGCGCCCCTGTCCGCCGTTAGCACTGGCTCCTGCAGTTGGCCGCGGGGGTCGAGCCATCTCATGATACTTTCCTGCAGCTGCGAATCTATGTATCCCCCTGGAAGCGGGGCAGCGATTGCTCTTCCTGTCTGTTGTGTCAGTCCAAGTCTGTGGTGTGCTCCTTCCAGTGATGCGACGCCCGCCTGCTGCCATCTCTCGCCCGCGTGTCTGGCGAGGGCGCGGGGGATTCCAGCGGCCCCAGACGAAGGGAACGAGGAGTCGGCTCCCAGTCATGTTGGGGGGAATGGTGTCACTCGCCACTTGCGAGCGGATCTCGCGGATCTCCTGTAGCGCACGTCGCGCGTTCCCTTCGCCTCCCGGTGGGGGGGTGCGTTGTCGGGCTTTGCCTTGGCATGTGCGTTGTACGTGCTTCGTTCTCCTCACTTATCGTGCTCCGCTGTTCGTCCCTTCTGGCTACCGGAGCCCCCCTTCCTCGCGCCCTCGCCCGTAGAGCGACTGCTAGACGCGCCGCCTCCCCGCGCGAGCTGCCCGGAGTAAGGCTGTATGCTATGATATTAGCTGCTATGATCCTTCCGTCATTCCTGGCGGCCGCCACGATGGCCCTGCAGGCAACCTCAGTTGCTTCTGTCGCTTCAGCGCTCGTGTCCGTTGCCCAGGCCCTGTCTGCTGGGGTGATGGAGAGCGCCTGGTCTATGAACGAGCCTCCTATCTCTCGCCGGAGCCACTCCACGTCCTCGGCCGGGAGCCTTTCAAAGCATTCTCGGCACCTTGTCCTCGGATCCTGCGCGCTGCCTGCGGGGTTTACCACTGCTGGGGATCGAGCAGATATTGCGACAGCATCTTGGCACCCAGTTCCGTAGCTGGCTGCCGGAGGGGTGCTCCCTGATGGTGCGCTGAATGTGCGTCATTGCTTCCATAACCCATCCCATCGGGGCACAGCAGAGTCTGGCCAACCAGCCTGCCGCTGCACGAACTGCCGGTTCGCCCCATACTCTCGCACTCACCAGGCAGTCTCCCTCAGCGGCAGGGCGCGTTCCAAATAGTGCTTCCCTGCCGTTTTCCACTGCGACTTCCGTCGCGTAGCACCATGCTGCCGGGAGCTCAGCAATCAGCCACGACGGAGAGAACTTGGTGGCATCTGGCGGGGGGAGGTGGGAGTCTATGTGGCTTGCGATGGGTGCATATCGAGCTCCCACTCTGGCTTGCTGGAAGGTGAGCCTTGTGCCTAGTAAATCCAGGGGGTGCTCAGGGGCCTCGGTGAATTGACGGAGGAGAGGGGGGGGGAACGGTGATGTCTCTGCTCGCGTCGTCCTGCGGCGGGGGGAATGCTTCGTCCTCCCTTCGGCGTCTGGTGTCATCACCACCTGGGCGTCCTTCTCCAGCTGTCCCCCGTGCGGGCTCCGCGTCCCCACCTCCGCCCTCTGTGGACTGAGCTGCGTCCGTCGCTCGGGCCCATTGTGAGCCGTCCGCTCCTCTACGCGGGGAGGGGGGAGGCGTGGGGGGAACTGGGATGCGCTCAGGATTCGTCTCAGAGTCCGGGCCACCCACCCGCACCTGGGAGCCCCCTTCCCCCGCGCGTGGAGGAGGTCGTCTCGGATTCGCACTCGGTGCTGATTCTGTCACGCCTGTGGGCGAAGGCTGCTCCGTATGGGGGGAAAATGTCTCGATCGGTGGCAGCGCTTGGCCTCCCGAGCCGTGTGCTGTACGATCCGCGTCGCCATCCTCTCCATCGTGCGGGTCAGCCATCGTCCGCGTAGCCAGCGGGGGGGACACGCGGCCCTGGGCTGGAGGAAAGAAGCAGCGTCCGGGCGCCCCCTTGAGAGGTGGGAGACTGCCCCGGAGGGGGCAGGCCCACCAGACAGCCTTGAGCCAGATGGCTACGGAGCTGGTGGGGATACGCGAAGCGTCAAGAATTTCTTTGTGTGCCACGAAGTCTCGTGTAATTCCTTTGTGTGCGGTCTGGTTACACTGTCAACGCTGGGGGGCGCACAAAGGAACTTCCTTTGTGTACGATCGTTTTCGCCGCCCCCCACAAGAACATGCGCGATTCCTTTGTGTAAAGCTTGCTTTCCCGCCTCGAGGAGAGCGCGGGGCGTGGCGCTACAATCACAAGGCCGCGGCGCCTGGCAGTGCGATGCAGCTGCGCCCAAAACGATCCTACGTGGATCTCGGCTCTTCTGCCGGAATCGCGCTGGCAGCTGGCCAGCCACATCGCCGGCCCTGCATGCCCGCGCGCACTACTGCGTTCTGCTGCCGCGACGGGTGCTGCTGTCAACGGATGAACAAACTTACGTTGCACGGTGGTTTGGCTGTGCCAAACCACCATGGAATGTTTGTTGGTAGCGGATCTTGGGATCTTGTCGCCGCCGACAACCTTGCCACACCATACATGTCAACTGCATCCTAGAGCACGGCCGTGCATCAACCCTGGTTCGGATCGCTGGGGATCCAGTGGCATGTGTGCACATGCGTTGCACCGTTGGTGGTGCCAAAACCCTTTGTGTGACAATTCCTTTGTGTGTTTTTTCTGGCTCAGATGAGTGGCGGATGGCGGGTGATGGAAAAGCCGACTTGCTTGGACTCCAACTCCTGCTCCTCCTCCTCCTCCTGCTCCTCCTGCTCCTCCCTAATCCGTCTTCCCCTCCTCCTGCCCTGCGGGTGCACTGGGCATTATCAGCCAAAACGTTGCATCCAGGGTTGGCGACACGCAGAGAAGGATGGAGCAACAGGGGCGAACTTCTCAGAAGGCACTGGGACCATTACAAAACTTCTACACGAGGCCTTGGAGAAAGCAGGAGGCGTGTAAGAAGTCCCCTGCCTCCCCACAATCCCACCAGGAAACTGCTGCATCAAAAGAAGGCGTCGCATCCAAGAAAGGCGTCGCTGGCAATGGATAAGTAAACTCCACTGCGAGACTAGCTGTTCTGGGTTTCGCGGCGGTCCGCGCGCTTGTCCACCTCCTCCTCCTCCTGCTCCTCCTCCTCCTCCACACACGCTTTCTCGTCTTCCCGTCGTGCTTCTCCTCTTCCCTTCTCCACGATCGTCGGGACTCAACCATGGGACTGCTGACAAGTACCAATATCCATGGCCCCTGATCGTCTGACTGTTGGCCGCGGCAGTTGTAAGATGCCGACAACCGCCATGGACTGACACGAGGCTGCCCCGTAAACCCAAGAGAGCCTGATGCAGATCGAAGAGTCCTCGAGGAGGGAAAGAACTCCGTGAAAGGAGGGGGGCGCCCTTTGGCAGAGCACGCACCCGTAGCTGAGCGTGGGTTCAGCTCACTGGTAGGCCCCCCAAATGCTGTCGGAGTAGATGGGGTCAAAGGGTCGCGCTGCATCATTGATGCATCGTCGATGCATCGGCGATGTATCGGCGACGTCGGCGACGCGTCCACAGAGTCGGCGTGGAGAAAATCGGGCCCCACATCGAGCCGCATAGTCGGTGCCTCGGCGATGCGGCGCTATCCCCCGACCCCATCTCTCGCCATCGCTCGGACGTCCATTCCCCGTGCCTTTTTCGATTTCGTGCGTGCATTTTCCGCTAAATCAAAGATGCTCCTGGATATTCCTCGCCGAGAAAAAAACCACACGTCCCAGCGATGCCAAGATCTACTGGGACCCCATCCGGGAGGCCTGGACTGATGGCCCGCCCCAGCAGCGGCCTCGGCGGCGCCCTGCGCGTGGCCACTGCCGCCGCGCGGACGGGGCGTGGCCCCGGCCGGCCCCGCCGCAGCCGTGGCGCCAGAGGAGAACAGGCCTCTGCGGGCGGGCCGGTGCGCGCCGCACGCTCGCGGGGCGTTACGGGGGCCCTTCGCCTGTCTTCGGGGGGGGGGGGGTGCGCCAGCTTCCACCGACCAGCCCGATGGGATTTACAAAGAGGCCAGCGGGCGCGAGGCCCGTCGCAGAGAGAGAGATAGGGGCTATCGACTGCACGGGGGGTTGCGTCGCACTCGGCGCGCGACTTTGCAGGTCTGGGTTCTGCGGCGGGCGGTGGGGAAGAATGACGGCCGTGGCCCCCTGCCCTGGCCTTTGCAGCACGAGGGTTGCCCGCAGAGGCTGGGCGGGGCGGGCCAGGTCGAGATGGGAGCGAGAAGAGGGCTGAGCTCTGAAGCATCGGGTCGAGGGGGCGGCGGGTCGAGGGTGTCCGGGGGGTCCGCCGGGCAGCCCGAAGGACCTCCTGACACCCTCGGCCCGCCGCCCCCGCGGTCCGAGCAGCAGACCAGGAGCAGCAGACCAGGAGCAGCAGAGCCGGGAGCGGGAGAGAGTCCGAGCTGGGCTCTATCCCGCTCCCGTTCCTTTTTTGCTGCTCGTGCCCCCTCCTGCCAGTCACTCCGCATGCTGCTGCTGCTGCTGCTGCTGCTGCTGCTGCTGCTGCTGCTGCTGCTGCTGCTGCCTCTTCTGGGCGAGGGGCCAGCGAGAGGCGGTCCACGGAGGGCGCCTCGGACGGAGGTGAGTAAGTCCCACCAGCCCTCTGGGCCTCTGGGCTTAGGTGGTATAACGCGTTTGTCTCTTCTCTCTATCACTGTTCCCTATTAATACACACCCCCTCCCCCAGGCGACCGGGAGTCAACCCGGGTCCATGAGGGCCCCCCCCCACCATCCCTTGTGAAAAACAATACAAAACACAATATGCCCCCCCATCCCTTGTAAAAAACAATACAAACACACACTCTGTCTCCACATCCGGAGCACGCGCAGCGAACCCGATGCGGCCTCCCCCCACCATCCCTGACAAAAGCGAAACATAATACACTGGGCGGCGGCGGCGGCGGCGGCTGCGGCGGCTGCGGCGGGGGCAACGGCCGCGGGGGCTGCGGCGGTGGCGGCGGCGGGGGCGGCGGCGGGGGGCGGCGGCGGCGGCGGCGGCGGCGGCGGGGGGCGGGCGGCGGCGGCGGCGGCGGGCGGCGGCGGCGGCGGAGGTGGCGGCGGCGGTGGCAGCTGCGATTTGGCAGCGGGGACGGCGGCGGCGGCGGGGCGGGCAGCGCAGCGGAGGCGGCACCGGCGGACAGCGGCGGCGGCGGCGGCGCGGCGCCGGCGGCGGCGGCGGGCGGCGGCGGCGGAGGCGGCGGCGGCGGCGGCGCATTGGCCCGCAGTAACTGGCCATCCAAAGACGACTGCTGCATATGCTGCGGCTCGGGCCAAGCTCGGGTGCTACGTATGTGTTGGGAGGGCGGGTGGGAGTGAGTTAGACGGCTTGCGGGCGGAGAGGGCGTCTTCATCACTGCTCCCTATGAATAAACACCCCCTCCCCCAGGCGACTGGGGGCCAACCCGAGTCCATTCCGACACCCCTCCCACCATCCTTTTTGTTCCCAACCATCCTGTGGTGTTGGGTCCTCGTTTTGAAGAGACGGTGCCCCGCGTCTCCTTCCTCCTCCTCTCCTCCTCCGCCTCCTCTCCCCTCCTATCATCCTCATCGTCATCATCATCATCATCGTCCTCATCATCATTGTCATCATCATTATCATCATCATCGTCATCAGCATCAACATCATGGCCGCCATCATAACCATCATCGTCATCATCACCATCATCGTCGTCATCACCATCATCGTTGTCCTCGTCGCCATCATCGCACGTTTCGTGGCCCCATGGGCGGGGCACGCGAGGGCACCCAAGCTGACTTGGTCAGTGGATATATTCCGGCCCCCCCGCTTTCGGTTTGACCGACGCGGACTTCGCCGCATCCGTCGAACAAGGAAGACAAGAAAGAGTATCCTTAATAGAATTATGTCGGTCATTCCTCCTGCACTGTCGGCTATGCCGCCAGTGCGGAGCCAATGTCACGGATGACCAGGTGTGGTCTGTGCAAACCAACAATCCTTGCCACGCGAACATTTGTTTGTGTCTCTGAAAGAGCGGCAGATCATGTATTTGCCTTTGCCCTTGCCTTTCTTATTGTCTCCGTCATTCTTGCGTCTCTTGGAGTTAGTGCTGGAGGCTCTCGAGCCACCGTCGCCTGCTGACGACGAGACATTAGCGGCTGCGGCATTGGCTTGTTTAACAGTGCGCTCGCACCCCAGGGATTGCCCCGAATCAAGCCTTGCTTGTTCGTACTTGTCGCGATTAAGCTTCTCAGCATCAGTCAATCTTCTATGTTCTTTGTAACGGCCATCTGCTGGTCCACGACAGTTCTTGGAGTCTCGCGAGCAAGCGCAACATGGCATCTTGCTCTCTTTCCCACGCGATCGATTGGATTGACTCCGATTTCTCTGCTGCGCTCCCTTTCTCCGAGACCCCTGTAAAGGTCTGTGATCGGATCTGCCCCTTTCGGCCTCGGCATTCGGGCTTTCCAGATCCCCCTTCTGGGGTTCTTGTTTTGGGCTGGCGCGGCGTTAGACTTATTCCCCGCAACCGGCTGAGCCGGCGCGGCAGCCTTGGGCATCTTATGGTTAAAAGGGCAACCCTGTCCTGCGCGCGGGCAGGCCTGGCCTTTACGCACATGTTTGCACGTTGTCTCGCCCTTAGTCGATCCGCTCTTCGTGACCTCTGCGGGTTTACCGAGTCGAGCTGCCACCTCTGCGGGAGCGGCTTTGCCGCTGGCATTTCGACGATTGTCATTGTTATTACCTCCACTTCCGCCCAGTCGCGCCTGCCGAGCACGTTGATTCAAAGTGCTCTCATGCACATTGATGTTCCATTCTTCCTTATCACGTAACCTTAACGATTCAATATCATTCATGAGCCATTCATAGGATGTCACTCATGTTCCCAATTTATCTTTGGATATGTCATAAATTTGGCAAGCACAAGCTAACTTCTTGGGCCTCCTACGCTGCTCAATGAAGCGTGCATGAATTGAGGCTCGCATCTCGTCAGGCGGAGGTCGACCCCCATCTAACTCTCGGTAAACATCTGTCCATTCGTTATAGAAATGATACAAGTCAGCATCAGGATGATTGGGGCCAATGACTACCTTGAAGATGTCACGCGAGATGCGGTGTTGACCCAAATCCGACCGCACAGAACACCAATAGCAAATGGCTCGTATCATTTCGCGCCCCGTTAAGAGCCTCTCCTCAGCCTGGGCGCCGAACTCCATTCGACTGATCTGTTGAAGAAAGTGAAAGTGATGATTGGGTAACTTGTGGTTCGCACCTTGTTTCACTTCTCCAACAAATTTATGGCGATCATGAGGTCAAGACGTTGGAAGCGACCCGCATTTCTAAGCTGCTGGTCTTCCACGGCAGGGTTCATAGCTTCCATGATCCAATGCTGTGCTGCTTGAACTTCTGGAGACGATCCAGCAATAGCTCAGATGGCATGCATCTGCCACTCCCGTATGTTTGTAACATCGGGGATGTCCATCAGGTCGACCTTTTGATTGTGTCCAACTTGCCTCCATTGATCCAGAGGGATACTCTCGTCTAGTAGACCCCCCGCCGCCACCGCCTCCTCCACCCGGGGGCCCAGGCCCCCCGGACTCCCGGGAGGCGGCTTCTCTGGCGGATCGCGACAAGCATCATTTAGTGCCGGTAGAGTGTCAGTGCTCGGCGCGATACTACTGTCATCACCGTCCTCATCCTTCCCCCCCCCTGCCCGGCGGCTGCGCCGCTGGCGCGTGATCCTTATCGTCGCCTAACGGCTGAGCCGTTGGCGGTCTCACTGGTCCGCCCTTAGAGACGGATGATAGTTGACATAATTATTTCTCTCAGTCTCTCCTGTGAACTTCATCCTGATTGGCATGCCATGCTCGGAGGTGCCAGGCTCGGCTGGACCTTCGATTGCAGGGCCGGGGACAGTATAATGAGGTTTCATGGCAGGTCTTAGGGGCGCATGCTGTGAGAGTAGAGGTATATCAAACGAACTCGACTTCACTGATTTGCGCTGTTCTGTTTCACCATGTGGGAAGGGCTCAGTGATAACAGCTTGAAACTTCATCGCGTCTCTTCCTAATGCAGCTGCATGTGCTAGAGCCTCATTTTGATCCCGAGCGTCGATGATCGGTCCTTTTGGACTTATTCTAATCTGTTCCTCAGTTTGCTCCTTCACCCTCTGTGCACTGCATTCGTCAAGGAGCTTTTGTTGCCGGGCCCGGAAGTCATTGTCGGCGCTGTGTTTTCTCCACTGCTCGCCCCACTTCTCCTGTTCAGCTGGCAAACTCTTTATTTGAGTGCATTCCGAACATCTTCTCGCATTCGTGTCAAAGTGGTCGATGCAGCCCGACATTCCACAAGTGGCGCAGTCCCCGACTTTCGTGTTCGAACAAACTGAACATTGTTCTTCACCAGCCCCTTTCGCGGGTCGCGGTTGATTCGCAGCCCTCACTTTTAGCGCAGTCGGCATCGCGCTTCCCATGGTCATCAAAGCCAAGTGTTCTCGTGAGGACAATACGCCGGGCGGCTGAGCCGCCTGCAATGGTAGCCCCCCTTCCCCAGTCAGCTTAGCCGATGGGCGCGTGACGTCGGTTAGTTGCACCTACTGAAGGGATGCTCTGGCATTTTCGTGCAATCTGAGGTCTTCTCGTTGTTTATTCGTCAGATCGACTCTCGCCTCAGCTGCAACTTGGGTGTTAAATGCTTCCAGCCTGGCAATTTTGAGTTTCTCTTGAAGCTCTTGTTTTTCTGGTTCTGCCCTGACTGCAGCAAGTTCCCCCCCTTCTACTCGAGCCGCCGCAACAGCAGCGGGGACGGTTTTGGCATCAACAGACTGACTAATCGCCGTCGCAACGGCCTGTCGTTCGGAAGCCATCATCTCGGCATATCGGTTCTCGGCTTCTTCCTCCGCTTGCCGCTTGGCGACCGCGGTCTGATCCCGCCCCCTGGCAGCCTTGGCCAGGGCGAATCTTGCAGCCTCGAACGTCCTCCGAACATCCTCAATGGTTGCGGTCATCTCTTCTCGATCAAGTCGAGCCTTCTCGGCCCGTTGCACTTCGCGTGCCATGAACTCCTGCTGGGTCGTGGCTTCAACATATCTAGCCTGGTCCTGCGTGGCTTGCATGAGAAGATATGTGCAGTTATGCTCACTCATGGGAAGGCAATCTACACACAACCGCTGATTGCTACAATTGGGACACACATCCGAGCAATTCTTACACACTGGACGCCTACAGGCTCCATCTGGCTTGTGGGCTTTCCCCGGGCATCTGCTCTCCGCCTGCGGCCTGCACTCGGGGCCCCAGTTCCAGCGTGCTTCAAGCATGGATATAGAAATATTGCTCCTTGAAGCAGATCGAGCTCCTGACCTTGGTATCTTGGGTCTCCCCCTAGTCGAAGCGTTCGATCTGGGACACGTGTGCGTGCATTCTGGCGGTTTTGGCACCTCCCGAAGTTCCTCATCCCTTTCATCCTGACTTATCCACTCATTAAACGCAGCTGGATGTTCAACCATTTCTTCATCCTCAACCACAGTCGGTATCGAGGGTTGCCAATCGCCTGAGGCAACGGCAGAACGATAGAATCCTTCCTGAAGCGGTGAATCGTTCAAATCGTACTCCTCATTCCTTTGCTTTTTTTCAATTGAGGTGCAGGAGTCCGGCCAGTGGGCCCCCTATCGTGCTTCGCCTGATATTGATGTTCGATGTCAGCCTCGACCGCCTGAGGCGTCAGGTCACTTATATCAACAACTATCTGGGGACGACCTCTCGCCTTGCACGGGGTGGTCCGCGTCCATTATCAAGGACAACTCTCGGCTCAAAAAACTCCTTTGTTGGCGTATTCAAAATCTTCCTCCATGGAGTTTATCTCATGTTCTTTATCAAATGGTTCGCCACTATCTTGGCCGAACTGTCCGTCCAATGCTATTGGGATGGGAAGCGTCCCGCTCGTGCTTCCCCATCCGTCTGGGACGTCGGGGTACGCGCCTCTGGACTCGTGACCTTCTGCCGACCCACCGGCCTGGCCAGCGGCCGGCACGATTGTCTGTGTAGCAATCGGGCTAGAACTTATTGTTTCCGAAGATTCGGCGATCAAAGACGAGAACGCTCCTCGTCTAGTTATTGCTGTTCTGTCATTCCGTCTCTGCGGGTCCGGGGTTTGTTCACGATCACCGATCGGAACTCGAGAGGGATAACCATCTTCCGACAAATCAACGACCTCTCCACTACTTCTTCCCCGTGGGACCCGAGTGGCGATACCAGGAAAGGGAAGGCGGCCCTGCCCCGGGCCGCCCTCCTGTAGTTCCTGTCCGTCGCGTTGTACAACTTGCTGTTCAGCATTTCGCGAAGCGACGGGCATTTCATCTGTCTCATCATAGCTCAGACCCGTAGCGACTATGTCGCGGGCTTCGGCTGATAACAAATCTTTCCTCTGAGAATCGGGGTAAGATGACAAAGGGATCAAGATCTCACGTTCACTCTGCTCAGTGGTAAAGGGTACGGGACGAGACATCGATAAGACAAGTAACCAATACGCAAATGTACTCTAGGTATGGTAAGGGAGGGGGCCGGCCGGCCGACGCCCGCGCGCGACGCACAGCGGCGCGTTCCATTTTCACCTTCGAGCACAAACAGCTGCGGGATAGTACCGCAGTTACAGTCATACAGTGCGCAGCAAGGCAAGCGATATGATAAGCAGCATTAAGATGAGGCGGAGAGGAGCATATTTACTAGAGGAGCTGGGCTGTCGCCCCCCACACCACCCCACCCCCCGCCAGCGTTTGCGGGGCGGGGTGGTCCTTCTGGCGGCACGAACTGGCGCCCCTGCGGCTCCGCCCCTGAGGCTGCGCCTGGGCCCCCGTCTGGAAGAGGACTCGGGAGTGTTGGGGGAGAGGGGGGAGGGGGTAGAGGGGATGGCGGGGGGAAGGGGGGACGGAACGACTAGGGAGTGTTGGTCCGGAGGGGAAGTAGGGAATCCACCTCCCTGTTCCTGCCATTCTCGCTCCCCCTTTCCCGTCTCCTACGTCCGCGAAGGGCCCCGCTGGTAAGGACCGAAGTGGGGAGTAGAGGGGGAGAGATTCGACGAGGATTCGGAGGAGGGCGAGGAGGAGAAGACGAATACAACGACGCCGACAACGACAAGAACAGGGATCAGGGGGAGGAGCGGGAGTGGGAGGAGGAGCAGAGGGAGGAGGCGGGGCAGGATTCAGAACGGGGGAAAAAGGAGGGACGACGAGAAGTAAGTAGAGTCGGAGGAGGAGGAAGAGGAGGAGGAACAAGGAGGAGGAGGAGGAGGAGCAAGGAGGAGGAAGGTAGGAGGAGGGTGAGTGAGTCATGCCATTTCGGAAATGGTTAAACTGATGGGGCACAGGTATCCCTGGTCAACGAGAGCAAGGATATTGTCGCGCCTGGGCTCTCTCCGTGTGGCGCAGATTTAGATGGGTAAGCACACGCCCTCGGGGTCGGTCCCGAACATCAGCTCGAACCACGACTTTAGCAGAATGGGGGGGAGACATTAAAACGCCAATCTATCTCGAATTCGGCGGGGACCTGTGGAAACCGAGCTTGGAGGCAGGGCGTTTGAACCGGGCCAGAAGTCTCGATCGAGTTGTAAGTCGCATTCCTTTCATGATGCAAGCGACAACAGGCCCTTCGCGAAAACAGACGGCGGCTGCGTGGATAACAACTCCTGTAGATATCGAGCCACTATATGTCACGTCATGCCCTCATTCCAGCACGCTTTCCCCCTGCCCCTCCAGCCGGTACAACCACTAGTCACTGATGCACCGTATATTTAGACGCACTCCTTCTCATCCGCTCTCTCCTCCTATCCATTACTCTAAATGTTGTTCGGTCGGGAATCGCAACCAACCCTTTCGCTTAGCATCGAACATGGCAGCGACAGGATGTATCGGAAAACAAACGCGTGTGCATCAGCCAAGCGTAATTGGAGAGTACACGTATTCCGAAAACGACTCCTTTTGACGAAAGACAACACACTGACCCTGATGATCCTCGTCCTGCTCATCCTCCAGCCCATCCCTGTCCTCCACATCCTGTTGACCCTGCTCCTCGTGGATATCATCCTCCTCGTTCTGTTGGAGACTGCCCTGCTCACGCAAGAACTCCCAGGCGGCTGCATCGCCACCACGGGCATCATCACTGTCCTCGGCCGCACAAGCCGCCCGCTGTTGCAACAAGCTGCGCACAGGGGCGTTTACGCACATCTGTGTAAGCTTGCGACGCGCATCCATTTATGCCTCGCTCGCCTCCTCGTCCCCTACCCCCTCCACAACATCCGCCGCCGACTGATGTTCCTTTTCCCTCGCGCAATAACATCCGAATCAGCTCCCCTACCCACTTGTGTTGTTTCTCTCTCTCTCTCTCCCTCACACACACACGCTGGAGCAGCATGAACCTTTCCTGCCCTCTCGAGTACGCAGAACGCACGTTCCAAGTCGGACTGAGCCCACTCGATCATGTCGAGGACGCTGAATGGGCCGCACGCGTACATAGCAGCCAGCGGCGTTGAGTGGAGTGGAGATCATGGCTGGGAACACTGCGACATTGTTTCGCGACATTGTTTCGAGCACATTCCCGCGTACGCCTGGCACCCTCTTCGCTGGCCTCTCCCTGCAGACCCCTTGACATGTCGCATGCATGTATACCTCTCCCCGTCCCCAACAACATACCATGGCAACCATGCCATTGCGGCCCACAACGCGCACATCAGAAATTACGGTGTCTTTCTTGTTCCTGCTCCTCTTCCTGCTCCTCCTGCACCGTCTGCTCATCATCCTGGCAACCGCCCTCGTCACGCCTCCCTCCTTCTCCCCGCACTGGCCTCGCCGCTGGAGGCCATACTGTCCATGTCGGAACCTGTGGGCGGGACAACTACTCAGGATGACAGGCCGGCCCCAGGGACAGGGTCGAGAACTCCAGGAGCGTGCGCGTCGAACAAGAAAGATTCGATGGAGCCATGGATCTCCCGCCTCCCCCCCCCCCGTCCTGCGAATCCCACCCGCCCTCTGGGCGAAGGTGGTCTTCTTACGAATGTGTATGTTCCCTTCCCTCTTCCAAACCCTCTTTTCCCTTCGGGGAGGAGTACCCTCCCTGTTTGTGTTGCTGTGTTTTCTCCAAGGGGGCACGATGTGTCAGAGTGTGCTTTTTGCCAAAGATAATTCCAAGAGGGCCTCCGGTACTCCGAGATGGCCTCCAAGATTCTAAGATGGATTCAAATGACTCGACATGGTTCGAAATGGCACCCGTCATGCTTCCAAGGCCCCATAAAGGGCCACACTAAGGCTCGAAGTGCTCTCGGAGCCCTACATCCTTAACAAAACGTCCCAAACACCTACGGACAATCCATGTGTTGTACCGTCTCGCCGTTTCGCTCCCGCTTTGTACTTTTGGAAGCCTCGAGATGGCTCCAATATTGTTCAAAATAGCCCCACGAAGGGGCCCAAGAGGGCTTCAAGACAGCCCCAAGAGCGCCCCAAGGGCACCCCAAGAGAGCTCCCAAAGGCGAGGTATCCAGCCTCAAGGGGGGCTGTATGGAAGCCTTCCCCCTTTTTGAGCCATGGGGCCCAAGATCCCCCACAGAGAGCCCCAAGACATCCCCAAAGAGCTTCAAGGTAGCTCCAAGACCCCCACCAAGAGCCAAAGAGGGCCCAAGAGGCCCCACGGAGGGCCCAAAGAGGGCTCGAAGATGCCTCCAGGAGTCCTCCAATAATCTCTCACAACAACAACAAATCAGCACATGCGGCCTCTTTGTCGTGTTTGTCCTCATCTGTTCCTCCCTTCTTTCATGACTCCTTCCTCCTCCTGTTCCTCCCCGTCCTCCTGCTCTTTCCTCCTGCTCCTCCTCCTCCTCCTCCTCGTCTGTCCTTTTCCCCCTTCCTCCGAATGCCAAATACGGCGACCTCCCAGATTACCTCCAGGGGGGAGCCCAAGATATCTCAAAGATGTTCTCCAGAAGACCCCAGTGAAGCGGCCGTGGCATGATAACTCTTGTTTAATCATGCAGCACATGTTCCCGCCGTGTGTTCTGCGCGCTCAACACACTTTCAAGGCAGCTGTTCCACAGCATGCGCCTACATTTGCATGATCATGGCAACTCGCCTGCCGATCGTTTCTCGATGTGCTGGTGGGGATACTTTTTGGTTCGCGAGCACAAACGAAAAGGCCGCGCGCCGTCCAGGGCTACAGCAAACAAGCCGGAGCCTAAATTGCACACGAGAGACAGAGAGAGGAAACGAGAGAGACAAAACAGAAGAAGAGCGGAGCTGGTAGGGATACGGGACGCGCCCGGAAATTTGTTCAAAGCAGCGAACCAGTGGTATCGAACCAAGGATGACAATCGATGACACATCTCGAAGTACATGTAACTCCAGTGTTAAACAACGCGTGGTTGATTGCGAAGGACTGCACAGCAGAGCCTAATGTATGGTTGTGGAGGCGTTGAGAGAACGTACTCCTCGGATCGGCGATCGAGGATCGATCAAGGATCGAGGATCGATCGATGATCAGGGATAGAAGGATCGAGGACTGGAGGACCGAGGATCGATCGAGGATCGCGGATCGAGGATCGAACGAACCAGTATCCCGCGAGGGGACGAAGCCATTCCGCCCCTCGGTTCCCCGCCGCTGGCTTCGAAGGCGCTGGCCTGCAGCCTACAGGCGCTCCAACCAACTCCCACTCCCCCGGCCCAACCTCGTGTTCCTAGTGCTCCGTGGCCCAGCGGCCGTCGTCTTCGCATGCGTGTCCTCACCCCCTTCTTCTTCCTCCTCCTCCCTCTCTCACTCCAGCCCTGACTCTCCGTTTGCCCCTCCCTCTCTCCATTCCTCTGGCCGCTGCTCCCTCATCCCTCGTGCTTCCCCCCTCCTGTTTCATCCCTGCTGCTTGATCCCGACTGCTCTTTCCTGTTTCTCTCCTCCTTCCTGCATCCTTCTTTTGCCCAACCAGCACTGATGCTTGGCTGCTACGGTGACGTTCGCGCTACTTCGCGCACGCGTCGTCACCAGGATATCCCTGGGGAGAGCCCGATGTGCCTTTGCGCCCTCTGGAACTTGGGCCCATGCGACCAAGGACATGCAACAGACTGCTTGCTTTTAGCCTCCGCTTCCTTCTCTTCCTCCTTCTCCTCCTCCTTTCCCTCCCTCCATCCCTCCCCTCGCACTTGCAAAGAGCCCGCGCTGGACGGGCGCGAGCAGCACTCGCCGGCACCCGCCCACAGGTGAGCATCGCAGCGAGGTTTCCAGAAGCCGGCGCCTGGGCAGTCTCTCGAGGAAGGCCAGGGAGCCGAGGGCAGGCGAATCGGGGGTGATAAGGATGACAAAATGAATGAGAGAGGTGGGGGGGGAAGAGAGGGATGGGGAGGGAAGAGCGAACGAACAAACGAATGCAGGAGACGTGCGCGCTCCACGTGGGAGCCCGCCAGTACCCATTTAGGGCATGACGTGGAGGACGTACCAAGGAAGACCATGAACTCAAGCGTATGAAACGTATGCTCACTCACGTGATGACCACCACTCCGTGCTCTCAGCGGCCGAGATCCATCGTAAATCGTTCGTGTTGCTGTGTTAGTAGTGCCGCGGTTGGATGGCTGCCCTGATATGTTCATGCCTGGCTTCGCCATTGCTGCGTTGGTCGCCCAATCTGTGCGGAAAGCCGAACTCGTCGTCACATCGATGCGGCTGCCCTCCACGCTGACGGCGTCCTCGCCCACGTGCATCAAGAGTCGGGGTTCCGTCGGGTGCTCTCCGTGCGTGGGAGGGGGGGGATTCGGGAGGTCCCCCCCGCCCCCCCCGCAACCAGGGCCCCATCCAGGGACCACCCACGGGCCCACGGGCGGGCCGCCGCCGCCCCCTCGGCGCGCCAGCGATGGAACGCTGTGTCGAGGCACCGCCGAAGGCGGGAAGGAGGGCCCGAACCTATTCCAACACCGGATGTGGATGATCAGCGCCACCACCGCAAGGGCTCCTTTGGACCTGCCGTGACGTAGCCGTCGTCGACGCCTAGGATGCCCATGAAGCCGCTGATGATCGATTACAGCTCAGGACCGCTGACCACGAAGCCGAAGGAGACCACGAGAAACCAGCGAGCCACCTACCAAGAACACCTACAATGCGATGATTTACACTCCTGGCGGCAGTCCACAGCACGGGCCCGCTGCGCAGCAACGCCCCAGTACGAATCGAAGAAGCTAGACTCCGCAGCGCACCTCCACAACCCATGTCGGTACTCTGCCCTGCAGTCATCCAGGTCAGCTTCAGTCGACGAGTACTCTTCGAAATCCACGCGCCGCCGTCGGAGCGGAGACCGACACTCCCAGCAGTGCTCAATCGCAAAACATGTGCGCTTTATCAAATGAACCCAGCGCGACTCCAATCAGGGGGCAGCCTATTGTATGGGCGCATCGCTGGGCACATTGCTTTGCATGGGTTGGCATTGCTCGGCATTGCTCGGCACTGCTTGGCACTGCTTGGCTTGGGGCAACCTGGGGCGGTTAACCAGCGGACCCCGGGGAACCCGGGGAACCCGGGGAACCCGAGGAACCTCCGGGAAACGGGCAACGTAATAATAGGAGGCACCGTGGGCGGAGACCCCGAGGAACCTACGAGGAACGGGCAAAGTAACAACGGGAGGCACGAACATTCAACCAACTGAGAACTGTGAGAACACCTTAGCCCAGCGCAACTGCGGAAAAAATGCTCATCATCAGGCTCCCCATGGGCGTCAAGACGACCCGGTGTGTCAAGAGCAGGAGGACGACGCCGAGGGCGAGGGTCTGCCCCAACGCCAGGACACCATCGCCAGCTCTCTCGTCATCTGCTCTAGGGATTGCTGCATCTAGGCCATCATACGAGACACACTCTGGAGATCAGAGTCAGCATGAGCATCCGAGTCCGCACGATCAGCTACCAGAATAGCCACATCAGGAAGACCAGCCTGCCTGTCGCCGAGCTCCTTCGGCAACGTCTCGGCCACCCTGTTGGACTCTAAATGCGTCCCAACCGTCCTCGACCGAACGATGCTCATACATCACCTCGTCCGAAATATGTGTTGCGTCATGCGCCGGCATCTCCAACTCCACCAGCAGCTCCCCGCCCAACCAACAGGCCCACCTGCACACAACTGAATCTGCATCGGCCAAGGTGTACAAACAGCGTCACTGCCAAAGCGGCACCGTACAGTGCACGATGAAAGTGCAGGGACTGCAGCAAGAAGAATCGCCCAGGCTCAATCTACCATTTCGGGCGCCGGGGAGAATCGGACACGACGGAATCAGCCGATTCAGGCGCAAAGGGGGCGGAGGAGCAGGAAGAGGAGGACGAGAACGAGGACGAGGAGAAACAAGAAAATGCAGCAAAAAACTTGCGCATACTGTTATCGTGGACTGAATCCCGAGACAGAAGCGGAATTGGCGAGCCTCGAGAGGACCTCAGCCATGGACCGGCCATCATGAGGTTGAAACCAGCACCGAGCCTAAAAACCTCTAAGATACCAGTCCAACGAATCAAGATTAAAGCGAGAGTGCCAAGATACTCATCTCGTCAGAACAGCCACTCAGGCTCAGCACCTCCATCTCCTTGAATACGAAAGCGGGGGCATCCACGTTCTACAAGGAGGTAGGGAACTGCATCAGTGGCGTTTCCAGTCGGAATCAGCTCACTGTTGACAACGACAGCCCACTGAGTACCACCGTAAGCCGCCGAGCGCTGATGCTTGAGCCGAGGGCCTGAGCCAGCAGTGACCCATGGGTCAGCACCACCACGTGCATGCCAAGGGTCACGATGTCTTCGGTGCCGACCGCCAGGGCCGCCATCCTCGCCTGGATCTGCAGCCGTCCCATCATGATCGTCTCCATCGTCATCAGCAGCAAGCCGCTGACCAAATGGAGGTGCTGGATCCAGAACTCGATGATCGAGGCGTCCCGCGACATGGACTTGTGGCCCTTGTCCCAGACAGTGTGCGTGTCCAGGGCCCGGTTCACTGCAGCAGTCGCACTCAGCAGCACTGGACGAAATGAAAAGCCCTGACCGTAATCATCGTGAAAGAAAAGCTTCTCCTTTTCGCGGCACACCTCAGGATTGTAGAAGAAGGTGACCACGACATTGCGCCCGAGAGCCATTTCGTTCTCAAGCCATCGCAGACGCGCAACCGCCGGCATCGGGGAGGGAACAGCGACACGGGGCAGGCGCACCAAGAAAGTACCGAAGAGATCAAGCAGGTGCCCAAGCCCAAATGTTTACTGCAGGGCGGGAATGGGGAGGGACAATGAAGTAGGGGGAAGGAGAAGGAGAAGGAAGGGGAAGGAGGAGAGGTGGTGGGGGGGAGGGGGAGAGGCTAGGAGGAGACAAGGAGTAACGGGGAAAAGAGGGAAGGAGGAGGTTCGCCGCTCCAAGGACACGCGCCGATCAGCTTTATCGGGCCAATGTCCGCTCAGGCTTGAACATGCGACGCCCGTCCAAAGCAAGCCGGACGGCTTCCGCAAATTCAAGCGCATGCGCCTCAATGATCACTACGTATTCCCTCTTAAGTCTTCTACAAGCTGGGGGGGTGGGAAATTCTCCCTCCACCCCCAAAAACGGGACCCCCCCGATCTGTGGCCCCGGGGGCGCCCTGGACGCCCCTGCAGACGTTTCCCAAAGTTTTCCAGGGCTGCTGGAAGCCCTGCTGGGCCCAGACGGGCCCAAATCCGTCAGGAGGGCAGCCGAACGGCCCCGCGAGAGCCCCAAAAGGCTGCAGACACCCACCAAACGCCCGAGGACGCCCCCCAAAAGATCCCCCAAAGGCCTACGAAACGCCAAACAAAACATTGATTCCCTAATTATGGTGTTTGCATGATTTGGGGAATGCTCTTCGATCTTCCGGGCGTCCGAGACCGCCCAGGAGGCGAGAAAATCATCCGAAAACAACCCAAGAGAGGTTCCAGACAGTCCACGAGAGCCCCAAGGCGGCCCAACAGGGCTCCAAGATGGCCCGAAGAGAGCCCCATGACGGCCTAATGTGGCCTCAAGACGCCCCCCCGAAGCACTCCAAATCGTGACCTGGTCGTTCAGGGAAACCGTGCTTGGAAGAGGGGTGGCCCGGGGAAGCCCCCAGAGGCGCCCAGAAGGAACCCAGGAGGCCTCCAGAAGGCCACATGAGGCCCTCAAAACTTTCGTGACGCCCCCAAGTAAGAGGCTTTCAAAGGAGGAGCCTCCGCGAAAAGGACTGAGGATGGGTGCGACTTCCCAAGGTAGGGCGAGAATGAGAAAGAGGGAGAGGAAACATGAGAGAAATGTCCGCCGGCCCCCTTGTGGGGCCACCAGGCTGTAGGACCAGGGTTTGCTGTTCCCTGCGCCGGTTCCAATTTCCAGTTTCCACTGTTACAATTCTGCTTCTTGTTGCTTACTGTTCCTTGTTTCAGACCGCGCGAGGGGGGGTAGCCGAAAACCGCCCTGGTTAGCACCTCCCGGGAGGGGTCTCAGAATTTCTGAGGGGGATCGAAATTAACACCCCTCACGCAGATCGGCGGGGTCAGGGTCCAAAAGCACGTGGGCTTTGCCACATGTCTGAAATTCGGTGGCACCCCTCACGCAGATCGGCGGGAACAGAGTCCCAAACCCAATGGAGTTTGCCACATTTCTGAAATTCAGCGGCACCTCTCATGCAGATAAGCAAGGCCAGGGTCGAAAGACACATGGGACTTGCCACATTTCTGAAATTCGGCGACGCCTCTCACGCAGATCGGCGGGGTCAGGGCCCAAAAACACATAGGATTTACAACATTTCTGAAATCCCACCAGCCCTCTGGGCGTCGGTGGTTTAGGGCGTTTTCTCTTCCACCCCTCCCTCTTTCCCTTCGGGGAGGGGTTTCCCCCTCCCCCTCCCCCCTCCCCGTGGCCCTGGACGGGGGGGTGCCGCGGGTAGTTAGAGCGTCCAAAACGGCCTCGGCGAGGAAGCCAAAATCATTGATTTCACTAGGGTTTTGGCCCCATGTTGGCCTCCTGGGGGGGGGGGGGGACGTAATTAAGGATCCCCCCTTCGTTAACCGATCTCCTCCAACATGGCCCCAAGAAGCGCCCAGGAGGCCCAAAGAGGTCCCAAGATGGCCCCAAGATGGCCTCAAGAGGCCCCCCAAAGGCCCCCAGGAGGCCACCAAGAAGACCCTAAGCGGCCCCAAGAGGCCTCCCCCGAGGCACCCAAGACCCCGAAGAGCCCCCCAGGATATCCAAGAGACCCCCAAGACGTCCCAAGAGGCCACCAAGAATCGCCCAAGAGAT